GGTACGCAGTCGAAATTCAGAGCGATTTAAACGGAAATTGAATGCGAGGGGCATCCTAGAAACAGGGCTGCTCAAAGATAAGGTCTATTACTTACGTTTCAGCAAATATAGATAATTAGCCCGTCCTGCAGTAGTATTTTGCAGAACCTCGAGAGGACTTAGTTCCCGAACCTCCCTTGTCTAAAGGAAATCGATAGGTTGATATGTTGATCTAGCGCCTCTCAAGCCAATGTACATATGCGAAGAACCTTTCTATTGAGCTCGTAGATTAACGAAAACTTGTGAAAAAATGCGATCACAAGCAAATGCCTTCACAATTCTCTATGACGGCTCGATTCTCGTATTTTAACGCTATAGAATTACAAACTGCTATTTGCAAAAGTTTCGGTGATCATTGGTCATTCCGTTTCACGGCCAATGAGTGAGTGAGGAATGGGAGGAGCGGCTATGCTGCTGCCTTCTGGATTACTGTGTTTGTTGCTTTTATGAGAATTCGACTAAAGAGTTCAGATCTCTTATAGAAGATTGGTAATGGCCCTTTTTGCAGCTGAAAAATTGGTCATTTCGTAACTAAGCATTTTTGGCCTGACTTTACCCAAATCAGGCAATGTGCTGGTGATCGGCGGAGCTCATAGCTCGAAGTTTCTGGTGAACCAGAAGGTGCCTTCGCGGTCACTGCACCGATACCGCCACGCGAGGTGATCTCAAGCGGTTCGGATATGCATGAAGTAACTGTGAACTACTGTCGGCAGTCTGCCCTGAAAAGATCAATCACCACATTTTTTCCTCTTCATGAGGATGCCTGTGCTCTTTATTCTAGAGCAGTTGTAAGTTTTTTTGCTAAAAATTTCCCCATCGGTCACCGACATATTTCCCGAGATTTCGCCCGGTACCACCTAGGATGCCCAGTTTCTAGTCGACGACAGGGATGGTGCAATACCCCACCCCTCTATGAGCTCTTCCTGTTTTCTGAGCTTGCCGGTCGAAATTTAGTTACCTTACTCGAACTCAAGACCTAACGGGAGCAATTCACCTGCCAACGGCCTCCAAATTTTCTGGTGATAGTATTTACTTGAATTTTCTGCACCCTATGCATCAATAAAGTGCTCAATCATCAACCATCTTTTCGATTCCCACAATTCCCGCACATATAAATTTTCGCTCCCACTTCGTTTCAGCGTAGCTGAAATTCGTCAGAATCCTGTCGTGTGCGGCGAGGCAGGTGTCTTGCAGGTTGACCGTAATCGGCTAGAATTCACTGCGGGACGCCATCGCCGCGAAGGCCCCGCACGCTCGTGCGGGCCTTTTGCGCGCTGACACCTTCTGCGTCGAGGGTCATCAGTTTCCGGTCTTGGGCGGGATGGGAATTTTCTCGATTACTCGCATACTTTCAAGGTGAAACTGTGAATGTAATATGCTGTGGCGGGTTCATAGCTATCGACGCATTCAAATGCATCACAGGGCAGGAATTTTCAAATGGAAGGAACTCATTTGTAGAGCTGAGGGAAGGACTATTCGAAGAGTGAGTAGAGCACCGTTTAGTGTGTCTGACTCCTTCTTCAAGAAAAAGTAACAAAGTATCCAGGGTAGAGCCGGTTTTTCAGACGCGCCTTGCATTCCACTACCACTCAGAATCGTAGCTGATTCCTCCAATGTATTCGTGGCCTACAGAATGAGTTGCGGTGGCCAGTCAATGTACATCTCAGTGCTTTTATACTCCCAGACGAGTCTGGGACCAGTAAGCGATAAGGGATGTAGCAAATATCTACCCGTGCTCCTCGAATCATTTGACACTGCCCTGATCATATCACTTCCGTCATAGCAAAATTAAGTGGAAGCGATAATGAAGATTCAGTCCAGTCCAGGTTCCAGGAAGGTGAATCCACTATTGGACGTAACCTCTCAAAACTGACTCCATTGGTTCGGGTCTATTCAACTTTTGAGAGCAATGGAAATAGAGGCAAATATTCTATGGATATATTGAACCGATATCCGACACAATCACTTTCGAATACGGTGACCCTCTCTCTCCTAAGTGAGGGAATGCGACTGAGGCACAAGCTCGTCCCGAAGCCATCCTCATTTTCAAATGGCTAATCAGCACACATGGGAAGTAGAGGGTGCTGGGGGAGCAGGAGTTAGTACCGTGCAACCATGTAGAAGTAAAACTACCTGAGCAGGGGTTCGAAGGGAAGAAGTAACCTGATTCTGAATGGAAACGAGGAAAGACTTTTACATTTTTTTGTCGTAACGGCACGGAAGGGCTTTCAAGCTACTGGTTCTTCGAGTAATTCTCGCCTCTTCGGAATGGAATAGAATTTTCTGGGCGTTTATTTTTATTTTCTAATAAAATGGGTACTTCCCGTTCTTCTGTAGTGACTTTATGTCAGAGGATGTCTGAACTACTTTTCAATTTAGCCATGGCCCAGAAATTGTCAAGTGAATAAGCTCCATTTCACGGATTCGGGGTCGCGGATGAGAAACGGAAGCTTTTGCAATAAATTAAACACGGTCATGTTCGACGGCAAGGTCTCGAGTGGGCAAAAGCCGATTGCAAGTATGGCCCGGAATGAGGGAGCTTGGCGCAACTCGTGACAACCGCGCGAGCGCTCTGTCCGCGTCTCGCGGAGCGGTTCGCCTCGTGCCTGCTTATAATTGCCGTCGTCGGCTGGTTCCTCTTGCTTTTTCTTTCTATAACTCAATGCCCTTTTGATGAATGAATGTAAATCACAATTATTGTCACATTTATTTGTTTATAATCTATAATTATTTCAAATACAACTTAGCGTACATTTGTTCGGATATGAATTTGTGATAGTTCAAAGAAAAAAAGAGGACTTCAGTTGCCAACACAAGTTACTGAGGGGTTAACAAAGTGGGGAGGGAGGAAGCCCGATGATCTCTGAACCCCTAAAGGAGCTGATCTATATGGCTACGGAAATTATTACGATTTTACGATGCTAGTGCAACAGCGCATAGCGATGACGAGCAGAGAAAATCAAAACACAACAGTACGGCGGTCAATGAAAAGTATGGAAATCGATTTTTGAGGGGACAGACACAAAAAAAAATCGAGTAAACAACGACGAAAAAAGAAGAAAATGGAATAAAGCTTGACTCCGAATGGATGGTATGAATCTAGAGCGATGAGGTTCGTTGTATGGAAAGTGGTCCGATATATGTGTATGTATGTGTAGAATAGAGAGGATATCTAGATCCACACACAATGAAAAAAGGGATGAAAATGATTGAAAAACGAAAACAAAGACATATAACATTATGCCGACCTGAAAGTGGACGGAAAGATGGCTGGTTACTAGGATGGAATACTGTCTAAGCGATAATAGCGATGACTGTATATTCAAAAACGGGTCTTCTCGAAATTTCGATAGCCTTTTTTGGCTACGGTTAGGTCAGGGTTACGGTAACTTGTTCAGGTGAAGCTGAGCAATCCAGGCAAAGAGAAGGAAAATCGTGTTGGAGCTGCGGAAAGGTTGGATTCCAGGGTGCTCTGAATAATCGAATAGTTAAGAGCCGTTCGACCACCCGAGTATTGATTTCCTGAGTCCAGGGGTCCCGTCCAGAATGTGCTCTGCCGGAGAGAAGCTCTAGACAGAACCTCCAAGCCACGGACATGGGACCCATGGACATGGGTTTTGTCCGACCCTCACAGGAGTCCACGGGCGTTGCCGATGCCTTTCCTGATCAAACCCCAGGCTTCAGCCATACCAACGATGACCACCTGTTCAGAACGGAATTGACTCAATTCCAAATATACAGTCATAGGGAAACAAAACTAATCCAGCACTAAATGATAGCAGTAATACCGATGAGTACATGAGTGAATACTGAGGGATCTACACCGGCGGGCGATGACGACGTCGACCGCTATGACCGGGTTTTTTTTGCAAAAGCAAATACAATTCTGAGGATGACAATGAATAATAATGAAAATGATGAAAGATGAAAAGAAAAAAAGGAGGAAAGGAGGAAACAAACAGGCAGACTGATAGACAGACAGACAGACGATGAAAACGCAAACGCACGCCAGCACACACGCATTCATAGAAATGGCTCTTTGTACAGAAAAGATCGTAGATCGATTTTATCACTGTGAAGATCACTAGACGAACAACGACAACGACGACAAGACGATCGGCACATGTTTGAGACCCTCATCTGGGGCCATATAAGGGCCCATATGAGGGCAACTTCAGCGCCACACATGGTGGGTGCCTCGTCCCTAGATGGGAATGTGATCGAACGCGTGCCCGTTCGCAAAGTGATTCTGCCACATTTCACTCCAACCGTTTGAAGCGTTCACTGCAGCAGTAAAATTGAAATCGTAGATCGACGGCAGTAGTTCGGCTTCGGATGCTCCGAACTGTGACGACTGGGAAGCGGCTTGAGCGCCAGCACCCGTTGGAGCTGGCTGAGGAGCTGTCGGAGCTGGGAAAGCGGGTGGTTCGCACTCCGTCTGCACGGATCCATAGCCTGACGATCCAGATGATAAGGAACGCATATCGTCCTGAAATAATCAAGAATACAGTAAAAATAATATAGTCAAATAATGTAAATTCTAAAAATGGAAATATAAGGGTAGAATGAAGGGGAAATGTTTTTCAATCGAAAAGAGTTTAGGGATTTCTCGATCTTCAGTTTTCTCCTGGGACCTAGACTTCTTGCCAGGGCCATGTACTTATGGGTTGAGAGCCTACTTTTGAAAATTCTCTTTCAATATCTCAACAATGAAGGTCAGAAGTTTCCTTTGAAAGTGAAGAGTTCAGAGTAGCTGTGTTGTACATGAGAAAGATAGGTATTGATCGCGGCCGTCCTCTGCTTCAAACAAGATTCTTACCTGCTCCTGTTGAGTATGAGCATGTGGTGAGGTTCGAACGAAAAATGGTTGCTGTGGTTGTTGTTGTTGTTGTTGTTGCTGTTGCTGAGGTGTCGGCTGGCCGTTGAATTGCTGCGTCATCATTCCCGATTCAATTGCCGGCTCAAGCAAAACGATATTGGTTTGGCGAAGCAAAATCGATCGAATCAATATCTCTTACCAATCTATGCATAGGCATAAGCAGGTGATTGGGTGGGCTGGAAGCAGCCTGATTCGTATAAGCTCCACCTGGTCCATAGTAATCATCGTAGAAGCCTGATTCAGGTGTTAAAGGAGCTTGACCGAAATCTGACGGTGATGGGAAGGATGGATGGAACAGACGTGGCTCCTGAAATGTGATCGATTGATTGGTAAATACTCGGTGGTTTGTGTAGGCATGATACGCTCCAAAATTTGGAGAATTTATATAGCGCAGTGGCTTGTAACTACGCTGCCAATCACAAGACCGTGGATCGATTCCTGTTCAAGGCAGGACCCTCAGAGCAGTGCTCAGATAACACCTAACAGATCCCAATTCCCAACCGAGATCCCCAGGAGAATGTCCTCCTGTAATTGAATGAACCACTTCCTATGAACGGATCGTCCATGGATAAAAGCTCCATCATCCCCTTCTGGGTATATTCCCTAGATGTGCTAGGCGTTCGCCCGATACCACGCGGTTCCCCCGCAACGATCAATGCACTTCTCGAGTCGAGTCGATAAGATCATCGCCGTTGCGCAAAAGAGAGAAACTGGATGAAGCCAGCTCTGATGATCGTCCCGACGATCAATTCGCTCGTCACTGAAGTCACCCCTTCTAGGATGGATGGTCATTGCATTGATTACGAAGCGTTTCAACAACCCAATCATCTATGAGAAATGAGAGATCATGTGGAAAAACCCGATTCGACAGACCAAGTTCGGGCACAATTCCATTGGGAGAGGCTCTAATTTCCTAATTTATAGCCTTTCCTGTACAAATTTTCTGGCTGAACTATTGAACGGCTATGAATCTTTGGAACAGGGCCAAGAGATTCCACTGACCTGTTTGACATGTGGGGAGCCTTTGATGTCGTCCGGTACCATGGTCATGTAGGACATCATGTTCGAATTTACCCGAACGTTGTCGTGATCGATTTTCACGGATTTCCCAAGCGGATACTGTTGATCGGAGATCGCCATACCGATACTGCCCAGATGTTGAAGTGGCCTAGAAATGCTTCTAATATATTGTGACACACGCCCAGAGCCTTTGTGGGTTAGGCCCACATGAACAGTTTGGGCACTGGGAAGCCCCCTACCTTTTCAAGCCTTTACTTCTCGGCGACCCAGGTCCATTACTTGCATTCGGATTTTGAATCGTTCCATCCGGGTTCTTCTTCGGCTTCTTACGTGGCTTGTATTTATAGTCAGGATATTCCTGAATGAGTCCAAATTAGTTTTTTTTTATGGATAAATTACTTCAACGAAGAATTTATTACGGATAAATTCGCTGTGACCGATATAAAGTGGTCTACAAAGCGAAGGAATCCCCCGCTTGAAGAACCTAATCTATTCAGGGTAAAGCTAGAAGACTTTCTATGGAATTTGGATTCTTTGGAATCCGAGGAGACCAGTGAAAGCCATATTCACTAGGATACAGTGATTTTCAAAATGGATGGATAAAAGGGACGACTATTCTGCCAGAAAACAAGCCCTTCAGGGAAGCATATCAAAATTCTCATTCTACCTCATCACTTCAGAGGTTGCACACGATGGACATAAAAAGGAGAACAGAGTTAGGGATTCTCTTTGCTTGTTCGCTGACTTCTTCCATGCAAGCAAGCGATTCTTATCACATTTTGACCAGTCGAAAAGCTCATACTATCATGTGGTGGCATCGGTAGGAGGTCGGGCTTTCAAGTGGGCGGGACCCGTGAGGTGGCGATAAGCCCTTACTGTCTCGACTTTGAATAACAAGACGAAGCACATTCTACCTAGAGGCCAAAGGAAATTTATGGCTACTGTTTGCAAATAAACGTTCTGAGCCTAGATATGGGAGCGTCGTCAATGAAATGGGAGTTCCTAAGGAGTGAGCTCAGCTAAGGTGCTCCTTGTACTACCTAAGCTAAAAATTGGTAGACGTCGATGTTTATAGGGTAAGTCAACCTGCTTTTAAAGAATGGAATGGCCGATACCGCCTTCAGAATTGCTCCGGCTAAGTCTAAGAATTATATTGGGCTATACCCTCATTTTGGAAATCCTATTGATTATTCCATTCTGTAAATATCGATTGGTCGGACTAAAAGATTCAGATTTCATAAATGATAGCAAAAATTACTCTAGAAAGGTACCTGCATATGCATAAGGCGGAGTCGTTCAGCTTCCGCGACGAAGGGCGACTTCTCCTCTTCGGTCAGCTGTCTCCAACGCGAACCAAGCTAAAAGCAAGCTTGAAATGTTTCTGATTTCCATCTAGAAAGTATGCCTATCGATCGGTCTTGATTTTCAGACATTCAGACGCCCGGAAAACTGTCTTTTGGTAGATTTGTTTCTTTCATGCATCTGCGAACTAAGTGCGAAGCTTCACGGGGATTGTAAATACGATAAAGAAAAAGTAACAAAGACGAGGACGGCAACGACGACGATGAAGACGACATTCTTCGAGAGACGATTGTCTAGACGACCGTCACCATCGTCTCGTTGACGTTCTACGATGAGGTTTTTCAGATTTCATGGAAATTATTACAAAATTTATTACGCTCTACGGGAACACGCGCCCGCGCTCAGGTTCTCGTTTGGTTGTCGTGGTTGCAGTGGTGGTGACAGATTTTGTGGAAAAAGAAGTAAAAACGTTCGTCGAACGTAATTAATTATTTCTTATGATCAATGTTGAAGGAACAGAACGCTCAGCTTGAACAAGCACTATTTTAGGGATGCGCCATGCACACGACTTCCAATAGAAAATGTGTGAATATGTGAAAACAAGTGTACAGTTTTATATTTCCATATTGGGAGAAGGCTGGCCCCACCACATACGCGGTTCTGCTCCTACCCCCTTCCTATTCTGACTCCACCTTTTCGCTACCTTCCCTAACAGCGATACAGGTACTATTAATTTCTGAGGAAGACATCGAGAGGTCCTCTCATCTACCACTTTTTCCTCCTTTAGCTTCTTTCATTCTCCTACATTTTTGACTACTAAATGTGACCAAATGTCATTTTATTCCGCTGGCAACAAGGGCTGGACCATTTCAGTTGGCATCCGTGAGCAAAGATTTGTCAGAAACTTATTCTATGCTTTAGTATACTCCTGGTTGAAGGATCATTTTCGGGCGGATTAAGTGCAAATGACTAACTGTAAGATGTCCAGACATGAGTGGAAGCAGTAGGCATCAATTCTACGGCAGACAAAAAAAGAAGATGAATGCTAGAGTGTTCCAAGATTTATCGCTACTAGTTCGGGGTGCGCCATGCTTCTCACACTCATTTAGAATTATGTGCAGAGCATTTGAATGGATGTCTTTTCCATCTACTGCTCTACAGGGGGGCAGCCTGCATATATTCTCTCCTCCTGGCTATTACCACTCGATTCTCGAAAGGCTTGGTTGATCGGGAGGGCACTGAATTGGACTTGATTTCAGGATCGTGATTGCGTTGTCGACGTCACTTCACACTAGTTTTTCGCACTAGTTCACAAGAGGATCTTTGAAATTTTCAACATTTCAATCACTTTTTTGAAATTCACGCGAAACCCCTCCAAAAATTACTCGGTCGATATACCACAGAGTTCTAATGTTGCTTACCTGCTTGCTAATTTCAGCATTGTGCATGTCGGGCTGATGTTCACAGATCTTCCGTCGTTCCAATTGTGACCAGACCATAAACGCATTCATCGGCCGTTTGATGTGATTACTTGACTTTTTGCAATTTGTTGCATCGGTATACGGTGTTGCACTCTGTTTTGACACCTGGTACTAAAATACCATTAGTGATTTCTGGATACGGTGTACGTAATGGAATACTGTAAGAGCACTATGTACGTCTATCAAAACTGTTTCTGAATATTTTTCAACGCAATAATCACCACGAATATTAACATTTATCGTGATTCTCCTTAAATATTAGCAAAGTTAAGGTTCAAAAAATTGTTCTAGTTATGGAAGTTGTAAGCCATAATTTATACATATAGTATATACTTAGGTTGAGAATTAATCAATCGCAGCACTGTTAATGCCGAATCAGATCTTTTCGAATAAAATTTTCGTGATTCTCAGGAAATTTATTCCTTGAATTTTTTACGAATTCATCGGAATTGAATAATCAAGTAGACCGGTTAGTAACTTGGTAATGGAACGTAATTTGAAAAAAAAGTTTTCATTAGGTATGTATGGTCCCTAACATTATTTAACTGATGTACTGAAAAAGCTGGGTATGAAGAATATTTTTGAGCGACTATTTGAAATTATTTTCTAGAATTTTATTTTTATTTTGGAAATCGATGCGAAGCCCAGGATCTGAGAGATTTGTGAGGTTCAAAATATAAAAGCTAGTTCTTTCCATTAGCCAAAAATATCTGATTCTGAAAAAACATGGAGGAACACCAATAATCAAAACGTAAAGGTAACGTGGAGTAGTTCTCTTTGGTATCCATGAAAAACGCCACTACAATTTCTTCTCCCGAAGATAAATATGAACAAAAAAGAGCGTATATGAACGTTTAAAGGCATTTTTGGTTAATCACTTCCATAAAAAGATAAGCTGATTGATATTAAATCAGTCTTCAACCCAAAGCTGATCATTGGGCTGTTTACTTGTGTACAGAAAGGAAAATGACTGCTCAGGATAAAGTGTACGAAAATCCGTGCCAAAAATGTATTCAACAACTCAAGGGGAAGGGAATTGGATAATAATCATCACGAATATAAAAATTTAAAATAAATCGTGGGTTAGGTTAGTGAGTTTGTCGATGTTGCCAGGGATTTTTCTGAATCACTTCTTTCCGAAAATACCGTAAGTGCGGTTTTCTTCTCTTGTCATTTCAGCCCTTCAGGCTGCTTGAGTACAGAGAACACTTTTTGATGGAATAAATCAGGATATCTTGCTAAAAAAGTCATTTTCCGTGATGTCACGCCCCACTCAACTCCAAAAATGAACCAGTTTTCATTCGTTTTATAGTGTAGTCGACAAGTGCTGGGTTTGGAGAGCGAAAGATGGAGTTCGAACTTTGCATGAGGTCAAATAATACCCGCAATTTGATGAATTCGTCAAATTTGATTGTATTTTTCCGAAAAAACTGGCATTACTGGAATGAGTCTCAAAAGATGCCAGGCAAAGGCTTCCAAAAAAAGTAGCATTTTCGAAGAATTAAAAATAACTTTCTTCCTGAAAGGGCGAAAAGTGAACGAAACAAACGCATTCTCAGAGGTTTATAGATACTCCAGAAAATTTTTTAAGAAAATATGCCGAAACAGAAGTAGTTCAAAGCTCTTCCAACAGGTTAATAGGATTACCTTCATCGATCCAAATGGCAAATTATCCCAGCTCATAGTTTGCTGCATAGTAGGCTGGCAATGCATAATTTGTTGAGTCATCAGATCACCGCCATTACCGTACTCGTCCTGAAACAGCTAGGTTTCATTTGAGTTCCTTCAGTTGAGTATAACACCTAAACTGTGACCTTGATATACGGTTCTTGTTTGATGAACTCATCAGATTTGAACGGTTTACTCTCCATTATGGCACTCATTTTAGAGTGATCTGAAAATAGATGCCATTGATTCGTGGGATTGATCACTTTCAGGTCGTAATCGACATTTCAACTTTCTCGATTGAAACCGAAAGCTCGGCGATAACGAGAGAGGGGGACGCGTGATGTGAGCGCGACATCGAAAATCAGGCTGCCGACCATTGTCCCTCTCACCTACAACCTCAGTTTCGTTAGTAGGAAGCCGTCAACTATCCCCATTGGGTGTTCATTTCCCCGAAGAGTTAAACAGGTTATACCATATTGTCGAGAGCGATGACGATGATGCTGATGATGATGATTGCGATGATGAACGCACACACACACACATACACGTTACCCGAACCGGGTCAATTAGGACTTTCTCTCTCAACGATCCTCCCCACCCACTATTGCGACGAGACATGAGAAAGTGTAGCAACGAGAGTACAATCGAGAAGAGAGTTCATGCATTCGTACGTACGCTCCCGAATCCCGAATGACGAAAAAAACCATACGCTAGAGGTGAATTGAGGTGGAATGTACCGAAAAACCAGGCAATGATACGAAGCAATGTGGAAGTTACGTAACATATTTCATAGAAAAAAACGAATATTGGAATGAACTTTCAAGATCGGCAGGAAACTCGACGTGTTTGCAGAGGAAATTGGAGCTTTGCGAGGAAAAGAAAAAATCGGAGCAACTGTTGGATGCATGGCGCAATCCCAGTGTCATCGTTCCTAGCGATTGCTACTGGAGGTGATACCAACATGAAACTTAACAGGTGCCGCGAGAAAGTAGTATCCTCCTGACTTCTGATAAAAGAAAGTTGAAACGGGAAATTCTCCAAATTCTCGGTGGGAGGAGTGAAATTTTTTTTTCCAGATTTCAGTGAAAATAAATGAATATTCAATTTTTTTTTGTAAAAAATTTTGAAAAAACGTTTTTTAATTTCAGTGTCAACATCGAAGGCACTTTGAATTCGACCGGGTCCCGAAAAGGTTGTAGAAAAGACCCTTTCTACAACTTTCAGGCTCATGAGAACCACAAAATTTGTCAAGCAAGGCCACGCAGTCGCTTTACAGTATCATCTACAGTATACTCCTTAAACAAATAAATGAACAATGAATGTTGCGGTTTTCTAAGTGATCTGTTGTAAAGTGTTAGAAAAGCCGACCCGACGATGGTGCCAGAGGACATTTCCATAGCCGGAACGGGAGGTTTTGAAGAGTTGGCCTTTGTGTACATTCCCGTATTTTACCTGTTCTTCTTGAAGAACTTGAGGAACCAGAAAAAAAAAACAGAATTCCTCGCTTTTTTTCCCCACCCCATTGACAATCATTCGATATGTAGTGCAGTGGGCAAGTGGAATCAAGCCGTTAAAACAAAACGAACTTGACATTTCAAATCATAGATCATCTGATCGCATTAGAGCCTTTTGTGGGAGAAAAATAATATCGATAGTGAGTCGAAAGCACGGCGCAACTTGACTAGCCACTTAAAGACTTGGCCGAAACAACACGGCGTTGCAAAATAGGTCTTTGCTGTTGTTTAGTTGTATGAACTTGTGCCGATACGAGTGATAAACGAAGTGATAAGAATAGACACACACACGCACACACCGAAAAATGACTAATGAGACTGATCGCCTGAAGGCGACGATACAAACCGAAGCGCTCGCATTGAAACGGGAATTTTTTTTCTCGAAAAATTCATAGCTGTACTACTCAAAGGATCACAAACTACTTCGGGCTCACCGTACAAAGATAGAAAAGGCATTTCAGGGGCCCCAATCGGAGAGATCCCTTCTGAGTATGGAAGAGGAGAGGGTAAGGGAACAAAGGCCCATAAGCTCAAAAAAGGCCAACGATTGAAGCAAGCCGAGCTCAATGTGATTCTGTTATTGACCAAAGGTTTGTACAAATTTTTTTAGCATTACATTTATTATTTTTTATCATGTGAATGGATTTCGATGTTTTTCCTATTGTTGTTTACATTATTTATTTCTCATTTTAGTAATTTTAGCATCGCCTACTATATAAAAACTATGCCATATATTTGACGGAAAGAGGCCAGGCGCAGTTCAAATTCATAAACATTGGTCAGTTGTAGATTTTTTATAACCTTTTTTTGATGAAGACTGTCAAATTGATGGCGGTGGCTAATCGGATGACGATAATTAACGCTGATCAGATTCTTAAAAACACCATGTCAGAATGATGATTTTTTCATGAAAAACCGAAAAAGTAATGGACTATCACTGATAATCATCAATTACTCGGAAAGAGGAAATGATGACAAGGATTTGAAGGATTTTCAGAAGACGGTAAAGAGGAAAAGACGTCAAAATCTTCAGAAACACGTATTTGTACAAACATAGCTACCGTAAAATCGTTCGATGGTATGATGTTTTCTATCAAAATGTAACAAAAAACCTACACCACTGTACACTGAGAAGTGGTGGCAAAGGTTGTTGCTTGATTGGGTTGTACCGCTGGTGCTGGTAGTGATGCTGGTAGAAACCAGCTACAAGGTCGTCATTATTAAATAGATTAGTTACTCTTTAGTGTAACTCTGGTACATACTATCATGATGGCACAGAACTACGAAGTAGGTTTACTCCCTAGGTTGCGTTTAGGTAATACAGAAGCAGCTGAAGGGTTTAAGTAGAGGAATAGAGTGAGCCTTAGAAAAGTTCTAGCATTCTTGAACTCCCATCAAGGTTGAAAGGAGTACCCAAAGTAACGCTGGGTAAGGAAAAGGAGGTGGTGGGTTCTAAAAAACCTCTCCATAATTCAGCTCCACGATCGCTGAAGTTCGCTTCAGAGAGTAGAAAGATTTTTTCTTAGAGTTCCTTCTTTGAGTAGATGACCAGTAGATTATGAGCCAAACTTGGAAGCTGGGGCAGGTACTACTGCAAAATTGGCCCTGGCCTTTCTATGTCCTGTGGTTCAAAGACTTGACGAGAACGGGCTAGAGAGGGGTTGTTGGATGGTGATGGTGGCGGTATGGGTGACGAAGAAACAAGTCCGCGCAGCCGCCGTCGGGGGTAGGTCACAGCTAGGCACATTCGAGAGTGAAACGAGATCGAGATGGCACCGATGGGGTAGTAGCAGTGAAGCGTACGCGGCGGGGCGGAGGAGGTTAGGGGTCGCTTGACTGTGAGACCGTTGATTGTGTGTAGCGGCGGTGGCAGCAGCTACACCACCACCGCCACCGCCAGCAGCAGCAGCTACAGCAGCTTCTGCCCCATAACGATGACGGCGAATTGCACTAATTCGTGACACACGCACACCCGAGACACTCTTGAGTGGGGACCGGGGGCAGCTTCGTCATCTCGTCGTCGTCACACACCCGCCGGCTGGGTCGTCGCGCAACTGGGCCCAGACGCGTTCTCGGTCTCGAAATGAGGGCTAGTTCATGACTGGACCAGGAAGGAAGAGACGAACTTCGAGACAAATGTCGATTGGGTAGGCAGATCTGTGTTGAAACCAAGACCTTTCACCTGGAGGGCATCGTTCAAGAAGGACATCACCCTAAGAAACTTTGGGAAAATTCGGGACCCCAATCCCTTATGGAACCCACCAGACCAATCGAAACATCAGAGATTAAGTAGCCACATAGTTTAAAGCCTCGTTGAAACTGCATCTCGAAGAAATCTGGTCTGAAGCTTCTCCACAACTACGGTGGAACCACCGAGACCGTGAAGGCATTGAGCGATTAATGGGACTGCTTACGGGACGAGAAGTGCTACGACTGCTGCGGCTGCGACCATTCATTCAAGAAGGGCAGTTCAACGGCTTCTTCATGATGACGATGATCTCGTCGTCGCCGTCGACGATGGCGAGAACGAACAGTAGACCGTAAACGACGACCTGTAGATGTTTCGAGATTCAACATCGAAAAAAACCGCCAAAAAGAAAATCGTAACTGTCGCGCGCGCGTGTGCGCGAGGTGACTGCCGCAACTGCCGCCGGAGCGACAAAACCTGCACGTTTCAGCAGTCGATCGAGATAGTTTAAAGCCAATTTACAGTGGAGAATTGAGCATGGTCGACCATGGGCAAGGGGTGGCAGAATGGTAGGTGGAGTCGGGGTGGGAAAGCTTGAATGATGGCTTCTTGTAGAATGACATAAATAACACTGATTTACGCTGTGAAAATCTTGTCGATTGGCAACGATTTACATTTGGCCAGAACTAGAAAGGACCGGTTATAGGATTTCGAGAAAAAAATGCGGAGGATTTTTGAACTTTATGTGATCACAGGACAAGAAGTTTCCAGTTTTGTAGTTCTTTGGTCGATGGGGTCGG